TGCTATAGGAAACCCTGAAAATAATCCAGGCAATCACGAAGGAGAGGACTGTGAAAACCTCGAAATATATATATATACCTCAGTGCATATTTCATTTGCATTTCTTATTCTTTAATAAATTCTAGCATTATTTTTTTATTATTTATTTGTTTTAAATAAGTGCGAAAAAAAAAATTTATGTGAAAAATAATATAGTTGTGCTAAACTATTAAATTAATTGGTTTTGTTATACTAAATTAATAAATCTTGAGTTAAATTAATTTTATTCCTTAAAAATAAATTCTTTAAATTTCGATAGCTAGTTTAATCGTTAATAATGTAAAGGGTTATGAGGAACCTTAATATTAAGATGCAATCGATAAATTTTAGACAAAATCGAAACAAGTATACTAAGTATACTTAGGACGTGAAAATTCCCAATGATTAAATTTTCGCAAGGTTAGTATATAATTAGGCGTTTAAATCACAATTGGGATAATTTTTGGAATTAAGTTAGAATTGAGGACTTGAGTAGAAATTAGGAGGAGATGTGAAAAGACCGAAATACCCTCCACTATTTCAGAAAATTACCATGAAACCACACCAACACCCTCTCGGCCAACCTTATAACATAGCCATTTCCATTCGGCCGAACACACTTCACTTTCACCTCTCCAACACTCAACCTCTCTTCACGGCGAATCACCTCTCTCAAACACTCCACTTTATCTCAGCCTCGCACCACCACTCCACCTTACCTCGTGAGTATCGACCGTGAGAAGAGAGCTGCCTGCTGTATCCGAGAGTAAGAAAAAGAAAACCCCGAGCTGTAGTTTTTCTGTTCTGTCCGGGAGCTAGAGGGAAGAAAGGAGAGAAACACTGCGTGAGTTCCTTCTGCATTTTCTTAACCTCAACCAGCTGCTGATCGTCACCATCTTCATCAGTTCCAACCGCAACTCCACAACTGCAACCATCGAGTGCGTAAGCTGTCCGAGAGAGGAGGAAACTTGACAGCTTTTGTGCCACGCGTATAAGCTTCAGTTCGAGGTAAATCTTGGACTTAGACTGACTAACTACAAGTAGGTGAAGATGTTAAGGAGCTTTCATGTAATGTTTAAGCGCTCGGATGAGTAATTGAGGAAAGGAAAATTCTGATGTGCGCGGAAAGTGGGTTTGCCGAGACTTTAAGGGGATAATGCTGAGATTAATTCGTTTATCTCTTCACAATCTGAGCATGCAATTGTAATTAACTAAGTAAAAAATAATAATAAGATGATTAAGACATGCATGTATTGTTTGTGCGTTCGGATGATGAGATTGATAGCTTAAGAAATCTGATTCGGAAGGAAATAGAAATTGCCGAGAGTTGATTAGGAAATGCAGACTTAATCTTGCTTAATTAAAGTAATCTGAGCTTGTAATTTCGATTAACCAACTAAACACTAGGTGATTAAGTCTTGCATGAGGATAGTTAGCTAGGTTAGGCAAGAAAAATAAAAATAAAATGAAACCAGCTTACATGCATGTTCATCCGAGGCCAGCTGGACAAATTTCTGGATTTTTGGGATGTTTGTAGTTGTTATTCGAATCTGATTTTGAACTAGAAATGTTAATTAGCTAGCTAAGTGTTTGCATGTCGAACTTGAGTACTTAAAACACTGATTTAGCCAAGGAAAAGTTGGATTGATGATCAATTAAGCTGCTGGAAAATTTGCTAGTAGCCGAGAGACTTGAGTTGGAAATTTTAACTTGTTTCTGGAATTTTTCCTTGCAAGAAAATGGTTTAGAAATGCATGAAAAATGTGTATTTAAGCCGTGTAAGTGGTTTAGCTATGAAACATTTGATATGTTGGAAGATTGGACCAAAAATGTTGAAGTATAGATGCCGGAAAATTTCCAGTTTGGCTATTTGAGTAATTTTTACAAACATTAAAGTTTTGATGAAATTAACTGCTGGAATTACTTGTTATTATTTATACTTGGTTGACAAAACCCTTGCGGTTTAGTCGATGGAACTGCTTGGAAGCCTTGCATTTATTTTGTTCAATTGTGATATGATATGAGCCTGTTGGATACCAAGAGCTAATGATTGACGAAGCCTTGGTCATTTGTTTAAATTTTGATCAGAAATGAATCTGTTGAAACCTAGGGCTAATGATTGACGAAGCCCTAGTGAGATTTCTATTTGAAATGTGAGTTTGCTATATTGACAAATCTGAAATATTATGTGCTTGTGAATCGGAATCGTAAGAAATCCGTTTTGGTCCTGTGAACTTGAGAAAGTTTTAAGCAAGCTATTTAAATATATCTTCGCCCTAGTATCGAACGATAAAACTTGGTATTGTACGTTAACGTTAGAAAGTCTTGTGTAGAAATTTTCTAAACTTTGCCGACTCGATATTTCTTCCTTTAGCTTAAACTAACCTTATTACTTCTAGAAAACGACTTCACTAGTTTCTTAAACCCTAAGTCTTGTTTTACCTCCTTTTCTTTCCTTAAAATTTGTCCCTGGCTAGATGTCTAGAGGAAAATTGACAAAATACGAGATTTTAATAATTTTAACTAAAAAGCGTAGAAAACCTGCTCGGCAAGAAAACTTACTTTAAATAAAAAAAAAAAGTACTAGTGGCACTTTGAGAAAGAAAAGTATTATAAAGAAAGCCATATGAAACAATTTACTACTTTTACTAAGTTTAATCCTAAGTGGATTGTCGAATTATTTCGAGGAAATATACTAGTAATATACCAGATAACCTTTTATATTTATATACCTAGAATTTGAATAGAAAACTTATAGTTCTTAAAACTTGGTTTTCTAGGATTTAGCGAGGACGCGGATTTCGATTCCCAACTTGACATCTGAGCTTCACTCTTGGTGAGTGTCCCTGCTTGTTTTACGACTATTTGGTTACAGTGCTTTCTTGACTAGATATATGATAATTGCAAAGTGATTTTTGATCCATCGAAGTGAGCAATGTGTACTTTATCACACTAGCCGTTTGAGTGGTAACTTGTGTGAAATGTTTTCGTGAATATCTCAAGTGTTGTGACGTCGTTGGATAAATCCCTCGACTAGTTTGTGACGTCGTTGGGTAAATCCCTCGACTAGTCTATGACGTCGTTGGGTGAATCCCTCGACTAGTTTATAAAAGGGTGTACTCGAGTATTACCACTATCATTTTTTTTTGGTGTGCAGGCCCGGGACAGGGGTATGAATGGAGGTAGGAACTGGTGTGAAGTGGCGTTCTACATGGACCGTAGGTAGTGAAAGTTGACGGAGGGTCAACTACGAAAAATTTTGATCAAGTTCGTGGAGAATGGCCCCTGAGAGCCCCTGTATCCTGCCTTGTGCTGTTATACGCTTTCCTAATCGTTTACTTTAGTTGAAATCAATATTTGCTACTTGCCTTATGTAATTGCATGTTTTGGGGCACCACTGAGCTTTAGCTCACCCCACGTTATTTTGTTTTCCTTGACAGGTTCTGGCATATGAGAAAGGCCTGAAATCTACTTTACTTGTTATTAATGTATTTCGGATTAAACAATGTAGTTTTGTTCGGTTGCCACTTGAAGCTGGAAAAGTGTAAACCCTAGATTGGTTATGTGGCTTGTGTAAATTTGTTACTTAGCTTGTAAGAATGTATTTGGCTTGTATGAATTTGTTAAATGGGATTGTTTGACTTTATTCCGTGGTTTGTAACGCGTAAGGTATTTAAGAATCGACGAGTTGCTATCTTAAAGTGCTGTTATCTCTGAAGTTAATGTGGTCTTAGTTATTTGTCTATTTTGGAGAATCAATACTGTAATATTTTAGGCTATACTTCGGAAGGATTTGGGCTAGATCTCTTGCGTGAGTCCTGGCGAGAGCTAGGCAGACAGCCCGCCAACCCTCTGGTTCGCCTTAGGGGGAAGTGGGGTCGCCACAGGTGGTATCAGAGCCTAGGTTAGAAAAGTTAATTGAAAGATATATTAGATGTGTTAGAAACCCTAATCCTTTCTAGAAGTAAGAAATGAGATACCTAGACATATTTAAGTAGTACCTGACCAAACTAGCTATTTAAGTTTTAACCTTTGGATTTTGTTTATTTTGCAGGTATGGATAACGAAAATGGGCATGCTAATGGTAATGGAGAGACTAATGGACATATAGAGCCTCTTAGGTCCATCTCCTATAGGCCACGAGGCGGAGGAGCTCATATACGCTACTCACCAGCTGATAGGCATCCCCGATGTCAGTGTAGGGCCACCCATGCCTACCCTAACGAGTTAGTGCTGTCCTTAGACGATGAGCGTCGCCATTTGAGGGACGCTAACTATACTTTGACCCAGGATGTTGAGGAGTTGAGCATCGTGGTAGACACTCAGTTTGACCGTATAGCTGAGTTAGAGCAGAGGTTAGCAGCTGAGCATGCTAGGTTGGAGGCTGCTCGCGGGGAGATAAGGAGACAGAGATCTCGGTTGACTCGATTAGCCGAGAGAGTACGTGATAGGAGTGCTGGTATTAGGGCTGACGCCACTATGATGATGGATGAGGCCACGAGTATTCTTCAGGGTAACGCTCAGGTAGGCGTTGAGGAGGACCCGGAAGAGGACCCAGAGGAGGATCCGGAGGAGAATCCAGAGGAGGATGTTGCTCCTGGTAGCCCTGCTGAGGGTTAGGTTAGATCTGACTTGATTGTATTAGATAGGTAGGGTTAGAAAGGAGGACACTAGGTTAGGCCATCAAATTTTGTCTAGCTCGATGGCCTACTTTTGAGGCACCACATCCCTGATTTTTGTTTAAGGGATTACTTGTATATGTTTTTGTTAAACTCATGTACCTTACTTTTGGAAATGTCCCAACCCGTTATTTGTATGACTTTTACACGTAGCTATATGTTAAGCATTTTATTCTTATTCTTCTCAATTTTTAGGTTGCTTTTATTTACAAAGAGAAAAATAATAACAAATAATATTCTAGCCTAATTGCCTTATTTTTCAATAATAGGCATAACTAGGCTATGGATCGCCAAGTAATAGGAATGGGACGTGGGAGACCTACTAGACAACACCCAGAAGCGGGTGGTGATAGGGAACCTGAGGTCAATCAAGACCAAGGGCAAGAGGGAATGGCCGGAGATCAAGTGGCCACCGCAATTAATCGGATCACTGATGTCTTAGAGCGCTTGACTGAACACCAAGCCTCTGGACAAGTGCATCACCAAGGAGGCCTAGCCGATACTGAGGATCGGGCATTAGAAAGATTTCTGAAGTTCGGACCTCCTAAGTTTTATGGAGGACCCGAACCGGAGATAGCCGAAGGCTGGTGGAAGAGAATCTCTGACATTTTCGCAGCCTTAAACTATGCGGAGGAGAGACAAGTGACTTTTACCGCATTCCAGTTTGAGGGAGCTGCTCGTTCCTGGTGGAACCTGGTTAGGATTAACTGGGATAGGAACCATACTCCGAGGACTTGGGCGAACTTCACAAGGGAGTTCAACGCCAAATTCCTTCCACCTCTCATCCAAGAGAAGATAGAGGATGATTTCATCAAATGTAGGCAAGAGGCGATGAGTGTCGCCGAATATGAGGTCCAATTCACGAAATTGTCCCGTTTTGCTCCTGAATTGATAGCCACGGAGCAAAGGCGTGTAAGGAGGTTTGTGCAGGGACTGAACGTGGAAATTCAGGAAGGATTAGCTGCCGTACGGACAGACACCTTTGCCGATGCTGTCGAGAGAGCCCAACGAGTTGAAGTAGCTAGAGCCCAAGTGAAATCTTTTCAAGCTAAGAAAAGATTTGCCCCTAGCAGTAGTCGGGAACCGACTTATGGAAATGCTCCACCGGCCAAAATAGGTCGAGGAACAAGCGGAGTGAATAGTCCTGGAGCACCACGAGGCGCCCTAGCGAGAGGAACTGGGGCAAGAAGTGCAGGGGGGAGAGATAATGGAGCTAGAGGGGGACCAAATGGAAGAGGTCAACCTAGGAATGCCTCACAAGGAGGTCGTGTGACCACTCCCCAAGAAAACTGTGGGTATTGCAAGAGACCTGGCCATACTGTGGATGGTTGCTGGAGGAAACAAGGAAAGTGCTTGAAGTGTGGGAGCAGTGAGCACCAAATTTCCGGTTGCCCAAAAATGCAAGACGATGGTACCCTGAATGCTAGACCAACCAATTCTGGAGATAGCAGGCCGAAAGTCCCTGCCAGGGTGTACGCTATAGATGACCAACCTGTACCTGACTCCTCGGAAGTTGTGGAAGGTACTCTTCTAATTTTTCATCGATTAGCTAGAGTATTAATTGACCGTGGTGCAACTAAACCATTTGTGAATCCAACTTTTATGTCCAGAATTGATGTGAAACCTGTTAGATTACCCTTCGATCTTGAAGTTAGGACACCTATGGGTAATAAGAATATGATCACTAGCTTAGCCTATAAGAATTGTGAATTCTGGATTGGAGAGCGTAAAATGCTAGTGGATCTAATTAGCTTGGACATAAAAGGTTATGATGTTATTATAGGAATGGATTTTCTAGCCCATCATCATGCTAAGCTTGATTGCAGAGCAAAAGTGTTAGAACTTCGGATTCCCGGGGAAGCAACCCTGAAATTAGATGTGAAAGGTAGGTTAGCATCGTCTGCTATGATCTCGGGAATACGGGCGAGGAAAATGTTACATAAAGGAGCGCAAGGTTTCCTAGCCTTCCTGATTAACGCTCCTAGTGACCAAGTGAAGTTAGAAGATGTACCAGTGGTACGGGAATTTCTGGACGTTTTTCCTGAAGAATTAAAGACATTACCGCCGGAGAGAGAAGTGGAGTTCAAGATTGACTTGGTGCTGGGAACGGCTCCGATTTCTAAGACTCCGTACCGAATGGCTCCTGCAGAGTTAAAAGAGTTGAAAATTCAACTGCAGGTACTACTAGAGAAAGGTTTCGTTAGAGAAAGTGATTCACCATGGGGAGCACCCGTTCTATTTGTTAAGAAAAAAGACGAAAGCTAGAGGTTATGTATTGATTACCGAGGGTTAAATGAGATTACAATTAAGAATAAATACCCTCTACCGTTGATTGACAGTTTATTTGATCAACTGCAAGGATCCGTAGTTTTCTCTAAGCTGGATTTGAGGCAAGGGTATTACCAGTTGAAGATTAAGAAGGAAGATATACCCAAGACTACTTTTAATACAAGATATGGATATTTTGAGTTTACAGTCATGCCATTTGGATTAACTAGTGCACCAGCTGCTTTCATGGATTTAATGCAGAGAGTCTTTAAGAAGTATCTAGATCAGTTCGTAGTGGTTTTCATCGATGATATTTTGATATACTCTAAGACTCGAGAGGAACATGTTAAGCACTTGGAGCTAGTTTTACAGATACTAAGAGAGCATAAGTTGTATGCCAAATTTAGTAAGTGCGAGTTTTGGCTGGAAGAGATATCTTTTCTAGGGCATAAAGTTTCTGAAGAGGGAATTGCCGTGGATCCGGCAAAAGTTGAGGCCGTTATGTTGTGGAAACAGCCAGAGACTCCAACAGAAGTTAGAAGCTTCTTGGGATTAGCAGGTTACTATAGGCGGTTCATCAAGGATTTTTCGAAGATTGTTGGACCTATGACCGAGCTAACCAAGAAAGGTAACAAGTTTATCTGGACTCCAAAGTGCGAGTCGAGTTTTCGGGAGTTAAAGAAGCGATTAACATCCGCTCCTTTTTTGGTATTACCTGATGGAGGAGAAGGTTATGTCGTATACTCTGATGCTTCTAGAGAAGGTCTAGGATGTGTTTTGATGCAAAAAGGTAAGGTAGTTGCCTATGCTTCTAGGAGATTGAAGCCACACGAGCAAAATTACCCAACGCATGACTTAGAACTGGCCGCAGTGATTTTTGCCTTAAAGAAATAGAGACATTACTTGTACGGCGTGACTTTTGAAGTTTATACGGACCATAAGAGCCTCAAGTACTTATTCTCCCAAAAGGAATTGAATTTGAGACAGAGGCGATGGGTAGAATTTCTGGAAGATTATGATTGTTCGATTAACTACCACCCCGGAAAAGCCAACGTGGTAGCAGACGCTTTAAGTCGAAAGGCCCAAGTAGCAGGGTTAATGGTTAAAGAATGTGACATGTTAGAAGAGGTTAGTAGTTGGAACCCTCGCTTAGAGAAATTGAAGATTTTATTTGGGAACTTGACATTAAAGTCACCATTATTAGAGCGTATCAAGGAGGCCCAGAAAACGGACCCTACAATCCAGAAGAATGTAGAGAAAGTGCAAAAAGGGGAAACACTAGATTTTAAATTATGGTCTGAAGGAGTGTTGAGGTTTCGAGATCGAATTGTGGTTCCGGCAGATGAAAAGTTAAGGAAAGAAATTTTAGAAGAATCACATCGATCAAAGTATACCATACATCCAGGAGTGAATAAGATGTATCACTGTAGACACCAATTTTTTCAGTGTTTTTAGTTTTTATTTTATTTTATTATTCTATTTTTAAGCTTTAGCATAGAATTTCTCGGGAAAAAGGAAAAGCGTTCAAAAAATATGATTTAGTCGTTTGTAATTTAAATTCAATGCTTTCTTGAAAGTGAAAAAAAGAGTGAAATGATGAAAAATGAAAAATGAAAGAAAAAGATTGAAAATGGTAACTTTGTTATTTTTTAGTTTGTTTATTTTGATTAAAATTGTTGTTTTATTATTATTTAGTTTTACTATTATTTTTGTTAAATTATTAAGTTGAAAAAAAAAAAGGAAAAACAACAGTCGTGGCATGCAAGCTGCATTTTTTTGCAGCTTTGCAAGGAAGGACTCGGGGAGCCCTTAGCTGCAATATGGAAAGAGGACTGAGTTGTTTTAGGGTTGGAAGTTCCCATATAAATAGCAAAAAGGATGGACAGCCGCAAGGGGGGAGAGATGAAGAGAGGACGAAAAAATACAAAGGGGGAGACGGCCGAAAGTTTGGAGGGAGAAAAAATCTGAACCAAAGTCCGACGGGGAAGATTGACGGCAAAAGAAAAACAGAGAGAGTAAGGGCAGTAGAAAAAAAGAAAAGAGGAGGATTCGGAGGGGGAGATAGAGGAAGGCTGGGGAGTGACGGCTAGGGATAGAGAAAAACGCAGAGGAAAGCTACGGGCATCGAGGACGGCTGGACAGAGGACGGACGGAAGTCTAAAGAAGGGAATGAAAGAAAAGGTTTTGGGGGCTGGAAAGCTGAGATAATCTGGAGGGGGGATAGGAAGGACGGCAGAGGAAAGGCTGCAAAGAGAAGAAAGCAGCTTCGGGGGTTTGAGGGAGAGGACAACCCGTGAAGAGAGTAGAGAGTGGCGGAAGAGAGCTAGAAAAGAAACAGATAGGAGGGTTTACTGGCTGAGAGATAGAGTAGGGGAGGCGATGAGAGAGAGAGGATCGGAGAGATAGAAACAAAGAAAAGGAAAGCAGAGCAATCGCTGCTCATCGCCATAACCACCCCTCGCGAACCTCCCACCACCAGTCCGCATTTGCTGCTGCTGCTGTCCGTCGACTACCACCAGCACCACCACCACCCAGCTGCAACAGGACTGAAACTTTCAATTTGTTGTAGCAGTTCAGGTATGTCGTTTTCTTTTTCTTTGTTTGGCTGCAACAATTACTCATTTAACCTGTCTGTTTTGATTGTCTATATTTGAGTGAAATACCATGTTTTTCTATATTTGTGATTGTTTGTCTGGTTAAGATTATCGCATGCTATCTGGGCGAAGCCTGAATGTTAATCATGTGTTTGGTATTTACCTTCTGATTTGGGTTCCATTTTGTTAGCTTGAAGTGTTTAGTTCCGTTAAGAGTTGTCGAGTGATGGTTTTTGCTGAAGTTCCTGGGATGGGTTGAGTTTTCCTTTGGTTGGTTTGTTGTTTGATCGTTGTGGCAAGCACTTGCTGGGCTTACTTTTTCTTTTGCTTTGGCGTGTTGGGTGATGATGATGCCATGTATATGCTTGTTTACCATTTTAAGTAGCAAGGTGCAGCATATCATTAGACTACAATAAGTAGTTAAAAGCCGTGGCAGCCGTGGCCTTCTTTGCCTTTTAGGATCTTAGCTGTTCTAACCAAAGTCTGAGCACATTTGTTTGTTTCTGGTTTCATGTTTTTGTTTGTTGTTGCATGTTTTTGTTTTCTCTTTGTCGACAAATCAGTAACCTTGTCCAGATTTTATTGATTAAATGGGTTGAGACTTTTATTGTTTTGAATTGATAAACCATGAGCTTGGTGCAATTTGTTTGGAGAAACCGCGTGGAATGAGCTGCAAAATTCATGGCAGAAATTCTGCTGCAGCTTTGACGATTCGGCCGGACTGCATTTTTCTTCCTTTTGCTGTTGTTTCCTGAACTTCCATGGCTATGGCTGTTTAGTTTAGGAAATGTCCAGTCTTGTGTCATCTTGCATGAATACCCCTGAACTGGGTAAGGAAGAAATGAAACTGCTAGCTACCGTAGTATAGCCGCAAGTGTCATTTTTTTTGCTGCATTCCTATCCAGTCATTTTGGTTTAGAGTATTTGTTAACTATATGGGTTATTAGCTTGCATGGTTTAACCTAATGTTTATGATGTTTTTTATGTTTTTTTTGAAATCTAATGTAATATTTCTGGGTAGTTAATAAGTTGTAAAGTCATAGAGAAGTGCAGCAGATTTTTGCTGCACTCTTGTTTTGGGGTTGTCGAGTCTTTTGCTGCAGTCTGTTTAGCCGTTGCCCCCTAGCAGCTATCATCCCAGATTTGCTGTCTTAATCTTGCAATAAGAGTTGTTGTCTTAACCCTACATGCTGGAATGGTTATATGTTTAGATGGAATGGTTTTGATCAAAACTTGGAAATGAGAAGTGCAGCAGTTTTCATTCTTGGCTGATTCAAGCTTAATAGAAAATAGCTGCAGAAACTTTGTGTTTACGTAGCCTGCATGAAGATTGCATGAAATAATTTTCAAAAATTACACTTTGGCCCCCAAGTCTCCCCTTGTCCTACTATGGCCCAACCAATTGAATAATGTCATCAATTTGGTCCTTCGTAGTTTTAATTTTTGCAATTTCATTGCTTGCTTTGCTTCAATTAACTACCATGCTTTGTCAATTGCACTTAAGTCATGACGTTAGGGGCTTTATGACCAAGTGAGCTTGGGTTTGCCTATTTCCTTTAATTTTCCCAAATAAATTGGTACCTTGACCATTTCTTTTATTTTGGAGGATAAATAAGTGGTTTCACTTCATTGGGGCCTAATTGCAAGGGAGGTAACCTCTATCTCCTTAACTTTCATTTCTCCTACGTGCTCCTACGTGTTATGTGAATATGCATGTCTACTTCGCTTTCCTTGCCCTTCTTTAATTCCTTGCATTTATTTCATTTACTTTACTTTTATTTAAGTTATTCATTATGGGGTATGTGTACACCTCTTGGCTTGTAATAGATAGGTCTTGGCGAGCTTTCTTGTCCATTTTCCCTTTTCCCTTTTTTTTAAGTTATTCATTATGGGGTATGTGTACACCTCTTGGCTTGTAATAGATAGGGCTTGGAGGAGTATTCGATGAGGACCTGTTGAAGACATGTGCCTAGCTAGCAAATGTAATAGTTAGGGCTTTAATTGCTTTATGTGTCTTGCATGCTTAGTTGCTACGTGTTAATTTGCTTTGCTAGGGCCTTGCATCTAGTCGAGCATGCTAAGTGTTATGTGCTATGTGTTTATGAATGTTTGGCATGCCTACTCGCTTTCCATAGTCATGAATGAATGTAATGGATGAATGTACGTTTCCGCTAGTCCAACGCTAGTCGGAATTCATAGAATGGGCTAGTCCAACGCTAGACCCAATAGGATTTTTCCTTTGTTTTTTCATTAATGCATTATTTGCCTGTTCACGACATATCATGCATTTTTCCTTAGTTTTATCATCTGGCATGCTCCTCGATTCCCCTTTCCCCTCACTTTAGGTCTTGCATCTCATGCTAGTTAGGGTACATTTGCCTGAAGAGTCCCCTTCTGATAAGGGAAACGAGCGAGTGTGGCTACTCGATAGCCTTAGCACGCTAGTTTTGCTTTCTAATCAAAGGGAAAATCGAAGTCGAAAAGTTAGGAGTCATTCCCATACCCGACCTGATGCATTCCCTTAGGTTCATTCATTCTCATTTACCACTTACTCATTCTTTTCAATTCACATTTTCCTTTCCTTATTGTTCATTTTGATTTCTACTTCACAAAATTGCACTGAATTACACCTATATGCACTTATCACTATATTTCATACACTTGCACACAAACACTTGGATTTTTCATACAATTTCACACGTGCACGTTTTCATACACTTGCACACAAACACTTGGATTTTTCATACAATTTCACACGTGCACCTTTTTATACAATCGAACACTTGCACTTTAGCCATCATTTGCATTAATCGACCTCTATAAGGTTTTCCTTTATTGGCCGCCACAACTCATGTGGTTGGGACCAAAAACCTTACAAGAGACATTTTAGAATTTAGGTTTGAATTTTGCATTCATCTAGTCAAATCCAACATGCGATACATACCTTGGGTAGAAAAATTAGGAAAATTGGTTTAAGTCACGCAACTAGCCTTGGCTAGGTCGAAGGGGTGCCTTGGATTTTTATCCTTGCCTTCCCCTTCGTCAAATGTGACCCCCGATCCCTCTTTTGGTTACGTAGACCCAAAAGTTCTCTAAAAGGGTTTATTTACTTTTTTATTCAAAAACAAAAATCATTTTTGGGTGACTTGGTACACCCTAACCCTATACCAAGTGGCGACTCCGTTTTGATACAAAA